GGTCAGAATTTTCTAACATAGGTGCCTAGATAAAAAAAAAAAAAAGAGACCAGTGTTTCCAGAGACATTGATCGCCTTTTGCCCCACTGAAGCCAATATTTAGATAGTATGGCCACAAGCAATATAGAAAAACCACGGATTCATTAACATAGCGCACAAACAGCTTGTGACTAGAGACTAGAATGAAACCAAGCCCACTTGCATTCATGAGAACTTGTCAAATTATCAGATGTGACCAGCACATCTATGTCCCTACTTCAGTCCTGTTTCACCTCCAACAATCACTGATAGAGCAGTTTAGTGACTCAAAGCAGAGAAAATCCCACAAGGAAAACATGGAGCCTTTAGATTTTTACTAGGGGGGAAAAAAACCCACTCCTCCCCTAATCCTAGCACAGCAATGTCCACTGAGTATCTCTGCATGGTCAGTAATATTTGACCTTGAACAATATCAGAGTCATGTCATGACAGGCTCCAAGGGTAGGAAGGAATTTCCAGCCCCGGAGAGTCAGTCCTTGGTCTCCCCCAAAAAGGTTTTCAGTGTGTAAAAAACAGTCAAATGAGTTAACGAAAAGCTTATTCCAGCTATAGATTTTTCTTTCAAGCCTCCTCCAGCTCTTGGGACACTGCCAAAGACTTAACAGCCACCAGTACTTAAGTCCTTTCAATAAGAAGTACTGTCCTGAAGAGCTGATAGCAGTGCCAAGCTCTGACTGTGGATGAAGCCTTCACATTAACCTGTTCCAACAACATAGCACAAAGAAACCTCCCAGCTAGGTATTTGCCAAATAGTAAAGGTTTCACAAAGGGAAAAGTAAGTGAGAAGCCAGTGCCATCCACTGTGTCTGCTTACTTAGACCTTAAGTTCCTTGGAACAAGAAGCTTATGTGCAACACTGGACGTGTTATGAACACTTAATAGGGGACTGACTTACCCCTATCTTTTTGGAAGATTAGAAAGCATCCTATAACCCCTTTTTGTAGCAAGGGTATCTTCAAGCACTCTTAGTTGCATTGTCTGGGACACAAAGCTTAGCTTGGACAAGAAGTACCATGGGATCTGTAACACCCAGTACAGACAGGCAGAGGAGACCTGTTCTGAGAGCTGGGTTTTCACAACGACCAGTTAGTTCTGTGCTGCTTGTTGGTGAATGGAGTGGAGTGCGCATCCACAGTCAAATGCGAGACTTCAACCCATGATTTCTAGTACATAAGCAAATGCTACCAGCTGGGCTATAAATCTGCAGATTGCTTTTACATCTCAGGTCACTCCTGTGCTTTGTTTGCAGTGCTTTCCCTTCAGTTTCTCAAAGAGATGCCTATTGTCTTAAGAATCTTTTGATTTCACCTCATTTAAATACTTCTAGCTATTCAGAAACAAAATATGAATACTGACTTCCTACCTGATGTATCAGAGATTCACACAGATATTTTAAAATTCATTATTGCCAACTACCAGATTTGAAAACACAAATAATATGAAGACAGCTCAGGTTACAGTGACAGGCTGCCAATGTTTCCATTCTGAGCTCATCTCGTATTGGTTTGACTTAGAGATACTCATTTCCTGGGGTTCAGAAATGCAGCCCACAAGCTTTATTAGAAAGCTGTCAGAAGCATGGAGCTCACTGCATGGTAATCAGCCACAAAGCACTCATAAAGGAGCCGCAAGGTTCAATGCAATTGGATGAGAAGTTACCACTGAGAGGATGGCCAACAGCTAAAGTAATAACTTGTACACTTCCAAGTTTCCCCCTTGCTGGAGGGATAAGGATGTTCCCTCTTTCTCTCTTTACCCTCAGAGCCACTGTCCACACAGCTTGTGGTTTCTCGGGACCACACTAACAACCCTGCTTCAATGGCATGAGTGGCTGCAGTGCCAGAAATTACTCCGTCTTATCCAGAGTCAAGTACAGTCTCTGTAGGACCCGCCAACCTGACCAGAGACTAAACTGTGCTCTCAAGAAATGCCATTCAAAACATTAACCACAACATTGCCACAGCTCTGGCAAAGTATGAACCACAATGTTAACCACAAAGCATTAACCACAGTGTTAAAGCATTAACCACAAAGCATTAACTACAATGTTAACCACAGCTCTGGTTAACGTTTCTGATTAGGAGGTAAAACAAGTCCATAGTCTGCTCCACTGAACTATAAGTACTGGTGGGAAGATGCAACTTCCAGGCTTTAGTCTGATATTGTAGTGATGAGCACAGTGCAAGATGTCCATATTCCATCTATATAGGTTCCTGTGCAGCATCCATCATTGTGAACCCAAGCACCTTGCGACTTGGCTTAGAAGAACCAAAGGCTGTGGACCTGAAAAGGCCAGGCCACCTCACAAATGTTATCCTCCAGCATACATTTCACAATTTGAGAATATCAGCAAGGGTAGAAATCAAATGCCAGGTCTACTGAGTCACATAATGTATTTAGCATTATCTCAAACGTCCTTCCCTTTTTGCTCTGTCAGCTCAGAAGCAATGAAGGGGCTCAATGAAGTCTTGCCACTTGCTTGAGTTGCTCTTCCCAAGCACTTGACCACAACTGCTTAGCTTGTATCTACAGAGCTTAGTATTCCAAGGTGGTCTACCATCCAAGTAGTAGCTAGGTCCAGGACTGCTTAGCCTTCACAATCAAACAAGACCAGGTCCATCCGATTTAGAAGGACAGCCTGACATCTCCAAATATACTAAGTTAAACAAGGGAGCTTCAAGCAATTCAGCAAACACATACCCAACCAAGCTAAAAGTTCTGGGTGGGATCCTGACACCATGGAAGTATACAGGAGTTTTGTCATTGACTTCAAATGGGTCAAGATTTCACCCAGAGTGTTTTGTTGTTTCTCAAAGTCATCATGTGGCTGGAGAAAGATGTGGCACTGAAAAAACTAGAAAAGGAAGTTCGCTGCTTAGAAGCAAAGCAACCTCCACCACTTTGCCCCACCCATTCTCCTCAGTCATGAAACAGGGCAACCTAGGAGTGAGAGATGTTGAATTACTTATATGTCCATGTCTATTTAAAGGCGCCCAATGAATGGTACACGCTGGTAGGCACATGTCCACTAGCAAATGGATTGATGCCAGCAACCTAATCCACAGAGACCGGTTTGCAAGTGGCATAGGTACATAGTGAAACAACAAGTGTTTTGAGACACTATGTACCTATGCCACTTGCAAACCGGTGACCTATGCATGACTGGTTTTCGAAGGCAATATGCCTTTTCGTAAGAAAGCAATGGATTAAAGAAAATGGCACAACTGTGGAGGGAATATGCTTAAAATATTGGGTTTTTTTTACCTCTGCTAAGTACACAAATATTCAACTAAAACCAAAATAATTATTTCTGAACAGACAAGAGGATCCCCTGCAGACTTGTGCGTTTCTATACCCCGGGATACACATAGCTGATTCTATCTAATATCTTGAGACTGACTGCTTTATCCCTTTAAATCATACCTTTATCTAAAGTCTCCAGCCACAAGAAGTCAAAAGCCCTTTTTGTCTCCTTTCTGTATAACAAAAGGCAGACATTAAGTAACTTTTCCTTACCTTAAGAACAAAAAAAGAAAATGCCCTTTTCCTCCCAAAGAGTTTGCTTTGACTTCAGACTGGGTCTTAAAGCAGCAGGGCAAATATCAGCCATTATTAAAACCCTCAGACCTGAAACTGTTTTTTTCCCCCTTCTAAATTTATTACTGCTTTTCCTCCCTATAATTTAGAGGGAAAAATGTGCCTGTCAGTTTTTCCACTTGGGAATCTGTTGCTGGAAATTTAAAGCATTATACAGCCTATGGACTACGTACAATGTCTCCATCCAAGACAGCCTGTTATTGAGCTGATCAAATCACACCGTTATTATTATTATTTACTCCTCCGTTCTCTGGGATGCCAGTGATGGTTTGTTATGATGGAGAGGCGAGCGCATGAAAGCTAGGTTTGCAGTGTGGGGGGAAGGAGAGTGGCTGTACACCACTTTCCCTTCCAACACCCTGCCCATTCCCAGAAGGGGAGATTTATTTTTTGCTTTGTTTTTTAAGTGGACTTTAAACATGAGTTAGGGAGTCGCTTTGCACCTTTCTGCTTCAAAAAATGCAACTGAGAACTCAGATTAAATATCTGGAAGATTTTGCTGCCTTTGAGACACCCGCAAGATAGGGCCCAACTCTCCTCTCATTTATGCCAATGAACCTGAAGGACTTCCCCGAAGTTCCTCTTGATTTACACCAACGTAAGTGACAGGAGAATCAAGTCCATGGACCCTTGTCATTCCCCCAAATTCCTCAGCGCCTCCACCCAGTCCCTGCAGCTGTGGTGTGTAAAATCAGGAGGGCTGCTAGATAGCTGCACTTTCTAGTTCATTTAGTCTTGGCGGGGGTGGGGAATGGAGGGAACTTTAACCCTTTGTGTCTCAGGGCTGAAAATAATACTTGAAAACATGAATGCAAATCCTGCCCCAGATCATTTGGGGGATAGCCTGCTAACCCTGCGGACGTGTGCGTATTGTTACTCTCCCTGCAATGATATAATGGCCCCATCTCTCTTGCCAGCCCCATCTGCTCCTTAAAACAAGAAATGGGAAGAGAGCTCTCCCTTGTGAGCCTGCTGGGTGACTCCAGGGACAAGGAGACAGAGCATGGGGACTGCTGCAGTGATGCTCAGCTTCTCTGCTGACTTTGCACAAGACCCCCGAGCCAGGGTCCAGGGCGAGGGCTGCAGCCCCTCCGGTGAGGATGGAGTGACGGCAGTATTTCCTCCCTTTTTAAAATGAAACTTCAGTCTCTTTTGTCCGTGCCAAACTGGGTAACATGCAGCTGTTTGGTTCTGGAATAAGCTGATCCAAAAGCCCCCATGCCCAATGTATTCCCAACACTCGCTGACAAACCAGAGCTGGTCGCCTTTATCTAACCATCCTCCCCTAGCCAGGGCCCTTCATCCCCTCTCCATGCACTCCCCAGCATGCGAGCGGGTCAGCTCTGCTGGCGCCCCATCCCTACCTTCCTGAGTGGCAGTGGCTGGCCTGCAGCTCCTTTACCTTTACGCCTCATTTTCGGCACCTCCTGACCCACGCCGGCAGCGGCAGCAGCATCTGGATGCATGGCTCCGTGACTCTCCCCCCTTTTGTTAGCAGAACGCCTTACAATCCACTTGGAAGGATTTTTCCTTTCTCTGGCAGTCCCCACCTCCCTGCTCCATGCAGATCAGTTTCCACTCCTAGACCATTGCACGGACACAACCAAAGCTGCTGCTTCTTGCTCTGCCTGGGCTTTGGCAGCGTTTCCGTCCCCCAGACTCTCCTGTTGCTTTTTCCCTCTCTCCTGACTTTGTGACTATCTCTTTGCACTCATGACGTTAGACACAGGAGGGGGAAGGGGTGGAATTTTCTTCCCACCCTTCCCTAGCCTGACCCATCCTGACTCCTTTCCAGTGAGCTAATCTGCAGCTGGCTGAAGAACAGGCCCCATTACCATGGAAACCCATGTCCCTGAATGCTTGACAGACTTGGGGAAACTACAGTAAACAGGACCTTCTGCTGGACTCTTTTCTCTTTCAGGGGTGAGTAGTGGGCTGAGTTAACTGTTTCAGCGCTTTTCAAGTACTTCTTTCACCTCTGTGAACTGGCCCCTAAGATCTCAACAGCTTTTCAAGCTCACCAAAAAGCAATCTCCTTGGCTGATGTGGAGGGTCACCCATATAAAATACATAATACTTGGCATGGAGTTGATGGAAATAAAGCAACTGACAAACAGAATGAATTTACAATTTACAAGCAGAACTGCGGGACACCCGACTTGTGGAGCTTGGGCAGGAACAGACCCAAAGACTCACAACAACTGGCACCGTGCAGCACAATTCTCCGACACCCTGCAGCCAGCTGTGTGTGGGGGGCACTGCCACATCACACAGCACTGCATTCAACTTTTATTTTTCTTTTAATAGGAAAAGGAACTTTCCAGAGGACGGATTTGGAGAGGAAGCGCTGGGAAGGTAGCTGTACTCTGTGGGAGCTGTGGTTCCCCCCCAAGCATTTTTTTTAGCTTTAATTTGATGGTTGTGATCACACTTCCCTTTTCCTCTGATCTTTTTCTGTTCTGCTAGTAAAATTACCCACCATTACCGTTGTCATTATCTCAGTTGCAAAAAAGTATGCTAAGTACTATCCAGATCAAATCAAAGGCCCTGGGTGAGTTGCTCAATCAACTCACAGAAGTGCCAATTTTAGTGATTGTATCATGACTCTCCTCGTACTTGTTCTGTTAAAGCCCCAACTCCCAGAGTCATGGTATTTCATGAGACTTGCCATTCTTTTATAGAAACAGCAATGTTTCTAGTCTTCACGGCTGCAGAGATACGCAACATGATGTAACCTAAATGTACTCTCAAAGTCTGCAGCCAGAAGGCAAAGTCACTGTTTATTATTATTTTGTTTAGATTTCATAGCTAGGGCCTGATTCATGCTTTTTGAACACCTGCAGTGGGCGATGCAATAATCTGGACATGAAAGGGCGAGGGAGACTAGCAAGGAGTATGAGAGCAGGAACAGACAATGCAGGGCAGTTGCATCAGTACCAGGGTGATGTGGTTACTCATGTTGGCATGGACACATTTTGATGGCTCCAAACCCCCTACCTTTCAACCAGATGCAACAAGCTGAGGGTGTTCTCTCGCTCACAGCTCTGTGGGAGCCGGGGAAATATAGAATGCAAGAAGTAAAACCATAATGTAGAGCTCTCCATCCCAAAAGTTTCCCTTAGTTTCCTTCACAACCAGATAGGCAGACTCATTCACAGGAATTGCATTCAGCCAATGTGCTGAAGCTAGTACGGAACAGGACAATTGTTCAGTACTACACAGCCACACACTACCAAGTATTTGAGACAGGAAGTAAAAGATCACCACCAAACTGCCAAACAGTAACGTGACTAGGGTGGGGTGAGTGGGGCACCAGCCCTGAGCGCTGAGTATGGGGCGGGGGGCACCAGAATCCCCCCCAGGAGTCTTTCCGATACAGCAGCCCTGCACCCAGCAGTGCATCTGGGGAGCAAGTTGAATGGTGCTCCCCCTCTGCTGGGGAGCTTAGCAGGTACAACTCTGTGCCTAGTAATATATCTGTGGAGAGGGGGAGTGAATGGGGCCCCAGGGATGGCTCCCAGGGGGCCCATGTCATAAGGCTACTATGCTGGACTCTCTTTCTCTACCGCTGCCACCCACCTGGAAGGCAGTGTTGGCTACAGCAGCATCAGCAGCAGCAGCTGTGTCCCCTGTGCAGAGATCTGGGGCAGTGAAATCTTCCCTTCCTCTCCCCTCACAATGTCTGGCTTACCACCTCCTTCCTGCACCCTGGGCGCTGCATGAGCTCACTACACTTCTGTTGCCAAAGCCCTTTTTCCACTTCGTTCAAAATTCCACCATGTTCAAAACACAGAAGTCCGACCTCAGAAATCCTTAGATCGTCTTAAAGTTCGTAAGAAACCAAATAAAATGTATCAATCAATCATAAGTTTTTTGTATTTGCCTTCTGGTTTCTGATGCTTCAGGCCATGCTTGGCTCGTGTTTTCAAGTCTTCTCCGCAACCATGAGAGCTGGAAGTTTCTTCTCTTTAAAGAAATGGAAGCTGAGATTCCCATGAAATGACATGACACCAGAAGCTGGGGCTTTAAGTACAGCACCAACTATTGCAAGCCTCCCAATTCACCAAAGAGCTGGGAACACTCCAGCCATTTGCTGCTGCATGACAGAATTTATTCATCCAGTTCAGCAATAGATGAAGAGCAGTGGGAGAGGAAACCAAGGGAGAAAGTTAGTTGCCTGGGGTCACACAGCAGGTCAGTGGCAGAATCGGGAATTAAATTCAGTTTCCCTGAATCCGTATCCAGTGCCTTAGTGACTGGACCACAGTGCCTTGATCATTACCTTTGCCCACTTTGTAGAGGACACCATCATTAAGAAATTTGCCAGCCTAAAGCTATTGCCAGTTCAGAGGCATGGGCCCCTTTGGCTCTTTCCAAGTGCTAGTGCCCCTGCAAAGGGCAAACTTTGGGAGAGTCAGAGTGTGGAGAAAAGGTGCCTGGAACACTTTTCCAGATGAGGAATAGTGAGGACTGAGGTCGTTCCCAGTTGGTGCCTGTCCATTAACATGCCCCAGGTACCCTAGCACATTTTGGCTCCCAGAGAGGGCCAGTGCTGCAGCTGACCAGCCAGTGATAGGAGCTTACTGCAAACCCATTGGTCATGAAGGCTTCAAGGCTGCAGAATGATTCAGGTGGATGCATCTGAACACCTTCAGCGAGCCCTGGTGAAGTCAGTGAGATTCTGGTCTGATTGTGTGGATCATTTGGAGGAAAAGAGCCAAAAGCAATTACAGGGGAAAGTCAGGAAGGAGGGGGATAAATGTTCCTTAAGCTGACAGGGCAAGTGGAGAGCATTTGGCAGGGAATCACTTCACTGACTACAGCTATATGATGGCTGCCATTTTGTCTGACACAGCCCAGGCTGAACTCGGGACTGACAGAGCTAAATGTGCCAGCTACTGCAGCTTGAGCTCCACAGTCCCAGCTCCCCAGCTGGACCTATAACAGACTGCTACCCTCTGTGGAGCAGGCATGGAGAGAGCCCTGCAAAACATATTCAACTGAAGATTACAAGTACACTGAAAAGAGTCTCCCACCTGGAGAGGCAAGTTATTGCACTGCCAGATTCATCTTGGGCAATGCATGTTCAGTTGTTTCAGTTCAGAGAATATCTTTATCTCACTCATTAAGCAAATAAGCAACAGTACGTGAATCCTTATCATACAACAAAGCAAACAGTTAGCCAGCTGGTTTGAGGGCAAGGAAAGGACTCCGAGCTGCCACCTGGAGAAAGAAGCCTTCCCACAGAGCAAGAGAATTGAGCCTTGTACCATGCCTGGAAGAGCAACCAAGGCGTTGTTAGGCCGTCGGAGAAAAGAAAGGGAAACTTGCCAATAAGGCCTTTGCACCTGCCATTGAGACTTGGATGTCAGCTCAAGCGTCCCAACAGACTTCACACCAAGTTGCTGATTCCTGCTATTTTAGCATGAGTCATGATAGTTGGCATTGTCTTTGAAGGCCCCAACTGCTGGAGTCAGGCCATTACCAGAGAATCTCAGCTCTCACTTAGAGGGGCCCAGTTGACCTAAAGACTCCAGTGGTTTGCCTCTTTATAGATGAAAAACTCCAAGCTCCCAACCAAGTCATAAAGAATGGGGAAGAGTGGAGTTGGGGTTAAAGAGCTGGACTCAGGAGGTCCAGACTCAGTTCCTAGCTCTAAAAAAGGCCTGTCAGGCCCCTCAATTCTCTGTGCCTCAAGTCCCCATCCATAACATGAAAACGATAATCTTAGTCCCTGTTCATTTACATCCTAAGCTACTTATCCATGTTCAGGAGTCAGGGATTCCAATATGAGCTCAGACTTTGGAGCACTACTGTGATGAAAGAGTTGTATTTCACCAAGACCATCTGCACATAACCACTCTGCTGCTGGAATACAGTGGCATTCTATAAAGTGAATAACAAGATCCATGAAATGTACTTTATGGAGCCACAGACTTGGTATTTGAATGCAACACAGCAGCAGGCACTCTCTGGAAGTATGATGGATACTATAGGAATGATGCACACACAGTATCTTGTGCACACGTTCAAAACTTTGGGCTACTAATAACTGGACCTCTCAGGCACAAGAAGAGGAGATGATTCACCTTCCAATTTCAAATTGTGCTTTGTCTAAACTATAATTACTCATGTCTGATTGATTAGATCAGGGGTTGTCACGTACCCCCTGGGGAACTTGAGAAGACCCTAGGGGGCACACGTGGGCAGGCAGGAATGGAGTGCTGCCATGCACCATCCTGTGCTGCCATGCAGGCACCACCCACCTGGCTGGATGTGGGGGGCAGGGGAAGCTCACATGCCGCGGCTGCCACCACTCCACATTCAGCCATGAGCCTCCTCCCCGCCTTCCTCTCCCACTCTGAGTCTGGCTGCCGTGGGTACACTGATCCAAAAAGGTTGAAAACCCTTGGATTAGATTGATTTTTCCCATTCTATACAGTGAGAGTCCAGTTACGTGAACTGGAAGGAAATGATCCCTCTTCTATTACTCCAACTCCTATTTTGTTAAGTTAAAAAAAATGCCATATTTTTCTTATTCTTGCTATTCCTAAATGTAAGGAAGTTGCACATAAATATCCTGAAGCACATATAAACTCTCTCCCACAGCAAAAATAACTTTCTCCAGTTTAAGATGCAATGGATTTTATAAAGAATTGCAATACAGAGTTCTCCCTCTCATTTTCTTCCCCATTATAAATATGATTCTTTTTACAGTGCAGTTGAATGTGATCCTCAGTCTGAGGATCTTAATCCACATTATGAATTTAGAAATTTCTGGGCACATCTACATATGCACAGTAGCCTATTTTACTGTGCATTAAAGCATCACATCAAAAACTGTGCTAATATGCTAACGCACAGTAAAAATAGGCTACTGCTCATTAAGCATCACTAAAAAAGTGTGCACTTTTGCTGCTGTGCAGTAGGGCAGCCTAATGCACATTTATTTAATACCTCACGTTAGATGTACTAAATGTAATGCGCATTAGGGAACGTGCATTACTGAACATATAGACATGCCCTCTGTCCTGCAAACTTTAGGAGTTCAAGGAGCTACTCATACATGTAAAGTTGGTCACTGTTGTTTCCCTTGCTCTTAGCATAGTGATTCTCCACCAGGTTGGTGCAGCACTCTGGGGTGCCTTGAGATTCTTTCAAGGGTGCGGTGGGGGTGCCACACAATGTTAGCACTATTAGGGTGAAAACATGTTTCACTAAATTAACCCAGATATTTCAAATAGGAAGCCAGAGTGTTAAAACTGGTCTGCCCTGTTGTGGGCTTTCCTAGGTCTTTGCAACAGAAAAACTGCCCTATTATTTTATTATTTTATTTTTCCACAGTGAAAAAAAGGCAAAACTAAGAGCTGGCATTTTTATGGGGCACCTTTAGTTTAACAGAGGGTGCCTTGAGTCCAATGCGGTTGAGAACCACTGTCTTAGCACAATAGGAACTACCTGAAGAAACCACATAGGGCTAGTCAGTCCCAAATAACCACAGTTAGTAAATGTACCCAAACACATTGGACTTGCCTATGGCTGGATCTAGAATTTTGTGAAAGGGGGTGCAGGTGGTGAGGTGCATCATCACCTATACTACAACACATTTTTATCCATTTAAAAGAAACTAGAGACTTTACTAATATGCTAGGGGCCTGGGGCTATATTATTCAGTTTAAGATCCAAGTAAAACACAAATATAACAGTATGGGAATGGGCATTAATTAGCTATATCATATATAATAAAAACAAAACAAACTGGGCACAAATCATCCAAATATGTTTCATTAGTCCTGGAGTCATTAGAATTATACGCACATCTCTTTCAGAGTCATAAAAAAAAATCCAGCATCTTCACAAGTGCAGCCAGTGCTTCACTGAAGTAATTTCCAGGCCTGAGATAAATGTTTGTAGCTAGAGTTAAAAGCAGTCTGCAGGGCTGTGAAATAGGAGCTATGTGACCAGGAGCAGCTATGGGACAGCAGAACTGCAGAACATAGGCTAGCTTGATTAGTAGAACTATTACAAATATAAGAATTGTCATTTAATGGTCAGATCATAGGTCCTTCTTGCCCAGTTTTGTATGTCGCACAGGGGCAGAGAGTGGATGCTGAAAGGGAGAGTGAACTGGTATGGCCAGGGTTTCTTCCCCTCCCTACTGTTCCTCTACCACTTGCAGCCTCCAGTATTTAAGGTCTAGGACAGCGGTTCCCAAACTGTGGGTCATGACCCCAAATGGGGTTGCAACATAAGCAGATGAAGCCATGGGAGTGGAAAATTGGGAGTGAGGGGCCATGCTGAGGAAGTGGGGCCATGCTGAGGAAACAGGGCCATCAATGGTGTCACGCTGAGGAAAACCTTGGGAAGCACTGGTCGAGGAAGTTCTGAGGCAGAGGCTGTACTGCTGACTCCCGTGCTCAGTAGCTTTCCTCCAGAAATATTTCCAATCCCTTTCATGAATCTGGCTCAACTGTCAGCGTCTGCAACACCTGGCAGTCCAGCACTTTAGATAATCGATCCCTATGGAATTTCTCTCCCTTGGAAACCCTTCTTCTGTTCCCCCTTAGACAGGCCTGGCCTCTCCAGTCTCTCCTTGTGCAGGAGCCTCTCCATAGCGCTTGTCCTCCCCGCTGCCCTCTCTGGACCAACTCTAAACTGGGCCAGAAGCACCTGTGGAAAGGAGAGTTGAGAGGAGTGAGGTGGGTAAGCACGAGCTGTCATGGCCAGGCAGGGCAGGAGAGGACTGGGGCGCCAGCGCGGCTGTACACCCAGTCCATTGGCTGCTACTGAGCCCTGAAGCACAGTTGGGGCCAGGGGAAGCCCCGGGTGGCTGCGGACACATGGGCAGGCGCTGTCAATCGCTGGCAAAGCTTAGCCAGCATTGTCAGGTCTTAAATATGAAATTATTGTATTGGAAGCTCAAAATGATCAGATTTGCTGAAAAACGACTGTACCCTGAAATAATATACAAATAAGTATGCAAATAAGTCTTTTTCTTATTTATTTTTTATTGCTGACTGTAACTCTCAGTGAGTGAGTGAGAAGGGGTCAACGAAGCTGAAGCATCTCTCTATTTGAAGGAAGCCGTTGTAAGGACAGGGTGGCAGCAGGCCCAGGAGTCAGTGAAGACTCCTTGAGCAAGGCTTGGGTTTTGCACAAGCTGCATCAACGAGCTGCCTCCAAAACGGGCCTTCGTTTTGTGGGTACCCGCGTTGTGCATTTTGAACACTTCCACGGTTATGGGACACTCCTGTTTTTGAAAGGCACTTTGAGCGCGTGTGCTACTAGGGATCGTACGTTGCGCGGGGGTGGAACTGATAGTACACCGACGGTCATTACCGTACGGCGGGCAACACCGGGCACAGCCGCCACCTA